CTTCGCGGGCGCTGGGACCCCCCAGCCGAGGGTTTCGGAAGACCGGGGGTGGGGGGCAGGCCAGAAGAACGGCCTTGCTTTGTTTTCGTTGATGCGAGCTGGGAGGAGACTTGCCGAGAACGCCGGACAGAGACAGAGAAAAATAAAGGGGTCTGGAGGAAGAAAGAAAAGAGGAAGGAGCCAGAGCGAAGCGCTTGCTGGGCCAGGCTCGGAGTGCGCCCTCCCGGGTAGGGCCAGAGCCGCAAAGAAAACTAGAGGGAGAGGAGAGAGAATCGCCTCTCCCCAAATCTGGCCTCAGCAGCGCCGGGTCCCCAAACCTCCCGCCACTCCAACTGGCAGTGTCCGAGTCTCACTGAGCTCCCGCCTTGGGCCCCGCAGGGTTCATTTCTGGGGCGCCGTCTGGGGTCTGCGTGCGCAGCTGGGCCTGAGAAACAGATACAGCTAGACTGGGGTCGTTGGCCACTCTTAAAGTGGATGCACACACCTGTACATTCCCATTCGGTTTATTAAAACACGAATCATTAACCGGGTGCGAAAGGCCTCATTTATGCAAGGGACCGACCGGGCTTGGGGAGTGGGAAAGCGCTGAAAAGGCGGCAGGCCTGAGGGTGGGGGAGGCATGCACCTGCCCTCGGCTTGGGAGCCACTTTGTGTTTCCAGGAAGTTTTTCGTGGCGTTTGTAATTACACTGAAACTGCGAGAATGATGCGGGATGGGAGGGCGCCAAGGGTGCACCGCGTGCGTCACTGCTGCCCGGGCGCCAACCTCCGCCACCCCCGCGGCGTTCCCTCTAGCCGCCCGGCAGGGCCAGGAGGCTTCTGGCAGCCGCCAAGCGCACCGTCTTCTCTCGCCTGCCGCAGGTGTACGCGCCCGAGAGGGACGAGCACGTGAAGAGCGCGGCGGCGCTGGGGCCCACGGCCTCCTACCTCTGCACCCCCGAGGCCCACGGTAACTCCTGCAGAGGTCGCTGGCCGCTGTAAAGGGGGAGGGGGCGCAGGCAGAGGGCTGGGGCCAAACAAGGCCTGCAAAGGAAGAAGAGAGAAGACGCAAGAAAGCGAGAGAAATGGGAGAGGGAAAGAAAGATGATGCAAGAAAGAGGGAGCGAAGGGCGAGTCCCCCCCTCCCCCGCGACTTCAGAAGTCCTGGTTACTTAGCGCCAGCGGGCAGCCCGCGCTCCCCACACGCTCAGGGGCACTCAGGCTCGGTCTGTCTCAGGCTCTGGGGTAAAACCTTTCCTACCCACCCCGGGCACTTTGCCTCTCTCATCTATTCAGCAGGTGCCTCACTTATTCAGGCCGGTGGCGGCGGTGGACAGAGGCGCTTGGCCACGTGCTTGGGTACCCAGAAGCGTTGGGGTAGCTGCGACCCAGCACCCGGGGATGGGGGAGGAATCCTTGCGCTTGCACGTGGGACCTGGTTGCTCTCGGAAAAATGGCTGCGGGCGGCGGAAATCCCGGCAGGCCCTGGCAGCCGGGTCCAGGACGAAGTCCCAGCCCCCACCGCCTTGAAGATCAGGCCTGGGCCCGCGGTCTCTGCAGGAGTCGCGCGGACCGACCCGGCGGGCGCGCGCC